GCCAGTTTGTCGTATCTGTCTAGTCTGTGACATGAGGCCAGTTTGTCGTATCTGTCTGTGACATGAGGCCAGTTTGTCGTATCTGTCTAGTCTGTGACATGAGGCCAGTTTGTCGTATCTGTCTGTGACATGAGGCCAGTTTGTCGTATCTGTCTAGTCTGTGACATGAGGCCAGTTTGTCAGTTTTCAGACTCGTCTGACTCATTTCAAATTGGAAATCCTTCCTCCCAAAGTTGTCTCTCAGTTAACCTGTTCTGTCTTGCGTCTGGTCCACGTTTTTTCTTTTCCTGTATCTGGGGACTTCTGCCAAATCAACTTGGACGATGGGAAAAAAACATTCTGAGCCCCCAGTTTTTTTTGTATGACATTTTTTTCGGAATCAATTTTTTAAAACCAAATTTGACATCACTAAGGAGGTTTCCCATTTGTCTTGTTTCTGACTAGAAGAATATACCAATATACCATTTCTTTTCAAGTATGGGAGGGATGAACGGGAAATGGTCCCAGAAATTTCTGCTCAATATTTTTCCTGTATCGTCTCGTTGTTCCCAGAATTCCTCACTCAATGCTTTTCCTGTATGGTCTCTTTGTTCCCAGAATTCCCCACCCTATGTTTCTCCTGTATCGTCTCTTTGTTCCCAGAATGCCCTGCTCAATGTTTCTCCTGTATCGTCTCTTTGTTCCCAGAATGCCCTGCTCAATGTTTCTCCTGTATCGTCTCTTTGTTCCCAGAATGCCCTGCTCAATGTTTCTCCTGTATCGTCTCTTTGTTCCCAGAATGCCCTGCTGAAGGACCAGATCGCCCAGGAGCTGCGCAAGCGTCAGATGTACCTCTCCAAGTCTGCCAGGGCCGGGGAGGAAATCCGCGACCTTCGTAACGTCCTTGACACCTCGCTGAGCAACGTGATCCGCGACCCCAGCCTTGACCCCCTGCTCCTGGAGCACGAGTCTCGCAAGCTGGACGAGAGCTTGTGCCTGTCACGCAGCCTGACTCCACGCCGGAGGTCACCGGGTCGCACTTCCTCCCCCGGCCGTCTGGGCGGCTACACGTCCACTCCTGCGTACCGTGCCGGGCCCCGGAGTCCCATCCTGCGACGCAAGCTCAAACAGTAGACGTGGCGCACCGCGCTAGGAGATAACTTATAGATCTGGCAGGAGTTGTATCTTGTTTGAGGAACCACCTGGACATTAGTTTGTTTAATTAATCCATTTGTAATTCGTCTGTCATATACACCTAAAACAGTTCTAAAAAGAACATTTATTTATGTCAAATGTACTCCCTGAAAACACAAAAAGCTTTCCTCTCCATCTTTCCCCTCGTACTGAAACATTTGGACTTTTTCGGCCGTCCTGTCTTTTTGGAAATGCCAGAAGATTTCTCTGGTACAATCTTCCCTTTCAACGTCTACAGAATCTCGGGGTCTTGAGATGGAGGGGACACAACTACTGAGTAGTGCGTTGTTCGTTGATGCCTTTTGCCCAATGTTGAGCTGTCTCTGTTCAGCTGGACACACCACGATATATTTATATTTGATAAAGATAACACAATATTGAATAACAGAATTATCCATTGTTCCAACTTATCTATGATAGAATTATCCATTGTTCCAACTTCTCTATGATAGAATTATCCATTGTTCCAACTTGTCTATGATAGAATTATCCATTGTTATAACTTTTCTATGATAGAATTATCCATTGTTCCAACTTGTCTAACTCATTTGAAAGTGACAATCCTTGGGAAGTTTTCCCACAGTTCATGTTTCTGTCTTGCCTTTCTCTTTCCTTTCTTATAGCCGAGGGTCTTTAGTACAATCCGACCTGTTTGACCGTTTTAGTTTGAAAGTTTTAGTCTGACCGTTGTAGTAGGTACTGAGTGTGGTCACGTGGGTGTGTCTAGCAGGCACGTTAGTCTCCAGAACATGATGGAAAAGTAGAGAATTGTTCTGTGTCCAGTTTTAGTGGATTGTCTTATTGAATTTGGTACAAATGTAGTTGGTGGCGGTTTTTGTCCACGCGTTAAACGTGTGTTGATTCAGAGGACAGTACCTCGAGATTTTGTCACGGTCTAACGTTTAGTTCTACTGACACTTATTTATAGTTAATCCAATATGGCAATGTGCTTGCCATCTAGATTTTTTTCTCTTTTATAGCTTGAAAACTTGTAACTTGAGAGAAACGACTCAAGTTTTGGGTGAAAAGGTGTTGTTACCTTCTTCTAATGACTTCCAGTAGCAATGAGTAGTTTTGTAGCAACAAAGCACGCTTGTGGTAACGCGTTGACCACTTTTGTATTTTCTGCTGATTATGGGACCAGAGTTTGGCGACTGTGTGTGCTAACGTGATTGTGTACGATAATAGAACCTTGTGTTTTCATCTCACTCCACAAAGTGATTGATGAGCCTTGATTTTTTTCTTTCAATTTTAAACTTTTGATGAACGGTCAAATGTTTTGTTTCTTTTTGTTGAGTCAAATATAATCCTATAATACAGTTGACTCTGTGAGGTGGGGGGAGGGGGTGGGGGGGATTTCTTCCCGGAACAGGCTGTGATATTTTGACGGCGGGGTTTTTCCCCCGCTGTGTGTGCATG